TTTGAGGCCAGCAATCCCTTTGATGGTTGCCCCCACCAAAATCATTAAAGGAGGTTTTTAAGCAGCAACAGTTTCCATGGCGATTTTACTACACAACATGGCTGCCCCTGGGATCAGGTTGACTTCTATATGATGCACATCGTTGCAGAGCATACACAAATCTTTAGCTAGGCAGCTACTATAGACGTGCTCCACAATCCCTCCCCTTGATGCTTGTAGTATTTTTATTTTTTATATTTAATTCTTTGTTTCCTACTTTTATATTTTCTATATTTATACTTGCACAAATACACCACAACAAATTCCTTGTATGTGTAAACCTGCTTGGCAATAAAACCAGATTCTGATTGATGACAAACAGCAAGTTAGCACTGAACACTTGCAGGCTACATCGATTTAGTTTTCGAAGTTTAGTTTTTTTAAATTGGTTTGTGCAGTACCAGTAAACTGTTAGCTATCTGTTTTTGTGTAATATGACTGACATGTTTATTTTTGTTTATTGATGAAATAAATACTATTTCTCAAAGAACTGGTATCCTGCAGTTTGTATTAAATGGTAGTGAGATGGTTGCTGAAGACTGAGTATGGCACGGCACAGCCCCACCAAGAGTATTTTTCACCAGCCGCCACTGACATCAGGCTCCTTGACCTCTGGCTGCAATGAAATTAAATAAAACGAGGTGGAACGCGTTGACCTGTCTGTGACACTGTGAACTGTGTAATTCAATGGTGAATTGTTTTCTGTAGTGGAACCAGTTCACCGAGCCAAATGTGATTTTTGCCCTGAGAAGCTCTGACATGTTTTCCCACGCAGAGCAATGGTCAAATAAGGGGGGGGGGGGGCTATTTCTGTGCTGCTGACGGTGATTTGTGGAATATTGAGGCATTCAGGGGGAAACATTCAAAAACGTCTCTGCTTCGCTTTTAAAACGTCGCCCCTATCTTTAGATTTTAGTGGATGCTTCCAGTTTACGATGAATTTAACTTCTGTCGTCTTTGAGGCTTCAGCTCAGACAGAACAGAGGTTAGGTTCAGTTCATGTTGTCTCATCTCTGTTTCCTCTTCACCAGGTCACCACATCATGTCAAACCACGACCAACTATGAGGTGGTGAGTAAACCTCGTGCACGTCTGAGTATGTGTGTGTGTGTGTGAATGTGAACACAAATGAGGCCATAAAGGAAACTTCAAGATCTTGTTGACCCCTGAGATTCCCGTCGTAACGCTGAGAGGCTTCCTGGAACTGTGGGAGAAACACACACAGACACACACATACAGACACACACACTCAGCACTGTGAGGTCAAAGGTCAGACGCTATAACCATTAGAGCTTCCTCCGATTCTTCTCAGGAAAGTCTCATCAGAGCAAATGAGACGTCTTCTGAGTTTTCAGCTTTAGAGGTGATGATGAGAATTTAACCAAATGCAGAAAATAAACTCCACCCTCGTCTCTAACTTACTCAGACTCCCTTGAGCAAGGCACTTCTCTTACAACATTAAGACACAACATCATATTGACAGGGATGTATTGAGAGTGCATATACATGAAGTCTAACAAATGTGTTTAATGCATTAAAAACTTTTTCACAACCCAAAAGTTTAAGTCCTGCATTGTTGACATGTTTGTCAGAAAACCTTAAATACTTAATGTTTGTGTTTTCTGCGACATCACCTTTGTCATCCCATTATCCATAGTTCAAGAATATGTACATAAATATAAATATATACATGTGAAGTTTGCTCCTGAGTAAACGCTGGAGCTTTAAACTCTTTTGTGAGCAAAACATTTTCCACATCTGAGCTCGATGTGTGCAACCTCCTCATTGTGTTTTCACAATAAGCTATAAATCCGTACATATTAGACTGTTGCCGTGTTGCCATGTATGAAAATGTGATTGTGATCATTGCTGATATTGTTTTATTGCTCTGCCCCAGACTGAGCTGCAGACAATTCCTCTGTCCTTCAGGAGCTTTTACAGGACGTCCCACTGAGACACTGACGCTTCATTCATCTTTCACTTTAACGAGCTGGACTTTTCATTCACGTCCATCAAACCTGCATCATCAGCACAACAGACAGTTTGTCCCCTATTGTATTTTCACCACTGATTCTGATGAAACGACCGAATCAGGAACATTCCACGTCCACAGAAACAACGGATTGACTTTGGACTCGGCTGCAGCTTGTTTAACCGTCTGTTTACAGAGACGCTGCACGTGTGTGTGTGTGTGTGTGTGTGTGTGTGTGTGAGACGGAGAAAGTGTGTATAGATCAGGGAGAGAGACATAGGTGAATAGAGCGAGTGTGGTGTGTGGGACAGAAGGAGAGAGAGGTGTATAAAAGAGACTCTGGCTCTTCTCTCGCTGTCTCCGTCTCATCCTGTCACTCACTGTGAGAGAAACACTGAGTAACTGACTGTGTCTTCTCTCTGCAGCCTCCCACTCCTCAGCTGCCATTAAAGCATGTAGACACACCGGTAAGTGACGCCTCTCCTCTATCACTGCTCACAACCAGGAGACATGCTTTAAAATGCTGCTGCTGTTATTGCAACAAAGCGCTGGAATAACAATCATCCACATGCATTTGTGTCGTTGTGGTCTGATCATCAATTTGACTCATTATCAGCATATTTACCACATATTCCCATCGTCCAGTCATGAAAAAAAACTGCAGCAAGTGACACTGGTGATGTCACAAGAATATTTACAGCCTCCTTCAGTGGTTCATTATTTTTGTGTTGGCTGTCGGAGCTCACGAGAGCACAAGGGGGCAGCACTGTGCAGAACATGAGAGCTGACCAATCAGAGCCTGAGCTCCATTTAATTTTTAGGTGAGAACTTAATTATTTTTATTGACACTTCAATTTAAAAAAGTGTGTTTTTCATGAATCATTTAAATGCATATTGATTTAATTGTTATTAGATTTACCAACATATTGATTGATGATGATGAAACATTTATTTTATTTTAGTGGCACGACCAGGTTTTCTGATTGCACAGATTTAAGCTGCCCTCTGTTCGGTGCCATATTTGCTTCACACCTTCCAGGAAGAGAAAAAGTTGCTGCGACATCTGTTTTCACCAGTTCACTGTAAATTAAGCTTCGTCTGTGCCAAACGCTCGCTGCCAGGGCTCGATGTTGCTGAACCATCAAGAGATTCCAGCGAAATAAGAGAGGAGAGATCTAATGCTAAAAGTAAACAGTTTATTTAAGCCAGCCGTCAGAGAGAGAACAACACGTTGGCTTGTTTCAGATGTTTGTAGATTTTAAACGTTTCTCTTTCATGGAACCAGAAGCTGCATATTTTCAGCAGATGAAAGCAGCCCTGACTTTTCTCTCTCCTCTCTGAGCCACGACAGCGAGTCTGTGTTTGCGTCAGTCGCTGTCTGGATGTTTAGTCGTGTGATGACTCAGAGTCAGATCATAAACACAGATCGGTGTGTTTGTGCAGCAGCTTGTTTGGAGATTCATTCACGTTCTGCACATTCACACACGAGGAAACAGGACATAATATAATATAGGACAAAGTATAAGATGAGGTTAAAGTTGTGCAAAAACAACTATCACAGCCAGTTTAATACCATTTTCATTTCACATTACTTTTCTTTTATTTATGTAGTTATATATAATCCCCAGGAAGCAGAGCATGTTCCTCTGTATCTATGAGAAAAATACAAACATTTAAGAAATCAAATGTTTAGTAAAACACACAAACAGCAAAACAGTACAAGTCTGTCAACGGGGCTTATGGGTAATGTGGGCATGATTATAAATGAAGTATCACTGGCACTAAAATATCAACACAAACGCTGTTCATTGTCTTTTTTTCTGTAATTTAAGAAGGTTTGTTTTTTTATGAGTAAATAATTAACCACTTTATTTCAGTTACATCCTCATATCATGTTTGTGATGGATTTAAAGGAAATCTTTTTCTTTCTTCCTGGCGTCCTCGTCTTTGTGCTTAAATCCAGGAATCATCATCATGATGGGGTTTTCCATACACGCGCACGTGTGTGTGTGTGTGTGTGTGTGTGTGTGTCTGTGTGTGTGTGCACAGACTGGCGAGGTGCTGATGTCATGTTTTCTTGGTTGCAGTTTATATAGGATACATTCACGGTGGTTTTAAATCAAAACACCACATCTTGAATATAATCGAGACAATGTGGGGGCTGTTCGGGGTCACCCAATTGCATTATGGGGGATTTTTTGGTGGCTCAGGGGAGTATAGAGAGTGACGAGATACATGCATGTAGCTCCAGATGCTGTAAATCAAAAAACTGGATGTTGTCAGACACAGAAAAAGATAAAGTTGAATGACTCATTCACCAAATTTCACAACAGTCGTGCTGACAAACTGTTTTATTGTGAAAAATGATCAAGAGTGGGAAGAGTGGAGATGAGAGAGACGGAGGAGTGAGGAATAATGGGAGATAATGACAATGGGGGAGGAGTTGTTCCAGAGAACAGACAGTGGGAGGGAGGAGAGGAAACAGGAGAAACTCGAGGAGGAAGGCAAAGAGCGAGGATTCATCATCATGTGACATCATCGTTCTCGGAGCGAGGGAAGCATCTTCTCTCACGGAGGGAACTCCTCATCGCAGCGCTGGATTACCAAAGTGCTCTAGAAACAGGAATCTGTCGTTTTTTAATCGGTGAAGTTTTGAGGTATAGATTGGAAACATGCCTCGGAGTTTATCTCACCTGCGCTCAGCCTGGAGGTGGAGCTCTGGGTATCTGTTTAACAAGGTAGGACACTCCCACACAGGAAGTACAAACTGCTCTTATGCAGGTAATTGGAATTTAACAGATCTGCTTCCTTTTTGGATTAAATCCTCTTAGACCAGCTCCACTATTAACGTGTTATTAACATCATATAATCTAGAGTCCAGCTCAGAAAACACATTCAAGTCCTCGGTATTGTTCTTAATGAGTCCTTCATTGGTTTTCATGTGGCGTTCGAGTTCCCATGTTGCAACACGTCAACAGATTGTTCCTGTGATGTCAAACTCTCCGGCGTCACACCCCCTGCAGCCCCGTGCGAGCAGACTGTTTAACTTAGCAAACACCAGCCCAACATCTGGTTCCCGTCAAACCACTGAGCTCCAGCTCTCAGGGGCAGCACCAGTTTGGCCGGCAGCAGCACGGCGGCGTCATGGCGAGCGTCATGAGGAGCTTTAGGCCGCGCGTGTTCAACCTTCCTCTGATGATTAGAGACCTTCTCTCTGTTGAACCACTGGAGCAGTGGAGCTCAGCGCTCGCTCTGATGATTGATGTGAAGCTGAGTTGTGTCGTTGTTTTGTCTTCTCGTGCGTCTTCATCAGCAGCTTCTGTCCTGCAGCGTCTCCTCCACTCTTCCTTCTCTTTCTCTCTTCAACATCTATTCTTCTATTACAATTTCTTCTCCTTCTTCTTCTCCTCCTCCTCTTTCCTTCCTCTTGCTCTTCTTCTACAAAATGTACATTTGTTTGTTTCTGTGCTCGGGCTTTTCCCTGATATGTTTTGTCAGATGGTAATTCAGTAACATCATCATCATTACCAGATGGAGGACACACTTATGAATCATCTTCTCCCCCCACCCTGTGTGTGTGTGTGTGTGTGTGTGTGTGTGTGTGTGTGTGTGTTCTCTCCAGGGATCTACGAGGTCCTGTAAGAGTGTGGAGATCAGGAGAAAGCAGTCCAGGTGAGTAAATAATAAATAAACTAAATCGTCTTTGCTAAATGATTGTTTTTGCAGCATATTGACCTTTTTCCTGAGAATGTAAGTTTTCATTTCACACTCTGTTGTGTGTTATTCTTCAGACGTGATTGTTTGTCGTGCTGAGCTTCAGTGTTTCCCCTCCAGCTGATAACCCTGAGGCCGCTTGGCCGATGGACCACGTTGCATAATATCATCAGAGGTGTTGGATTGTGAATCTAAATAAAGTTGAGCTGCAGGACTTTACGTTTGTGATGACTTCTGTTAGTTTCAGAAGTGTTCTCACATCAGGTGTTAAATAGTAGATTCACTGCAGTTCTGGTAAAGAAGAAGATCATCTCTGAACATTAAAGACAGATTAACATGAGACGAGGGAGAAAGAAACTAGAAGATGAACCAGGAACCTGCAGCTCAAGGTGTATCCACTATATTCACCTTCTGTGATGGACGTGCAGGACTCCAGCGTCTCCGGGCGGATGTTTGAAGCTCAGAGGTTGAGAGATGTTGATACGTCCTCCTCTGCCTGTGCAGGAGTCAGAGTGTGGTCCCGGCCATGGAGGAGAGCTATGAGGTGGACCTGGTCTACATCACAGAGAGGATCATCTCCGTCTCTTTCCCCGCCGCCGCCGAGGAGCTCAGCTACACCAACCACCTCAAGGAGGTGGCGACGATGCTGCGCTCCAAACACGGCGAACAATATCTGGTGAGAGACGTGATATTCAAAAGATATCGGATTCAGTGTTTTCATGTCTGTTCATTCTGATTCTTTTTATGATTTCAGATGCTCAACCTGAGCGAGCGGAGGAATGACTTGACAAACTTAAACCACAAGGTGCACACACACACACACACANACACACACACACACACACACGTCTGCCTCGTGAAACCACACAGGTGAAATCATCCTGACAATCCCCCCCAGGTTCTGGAGTTCGGTTGGCCTGACCATCATGCACCAGCGCTGGACAAAATCTGCAGCATGTGCAAGGCCATCGACACGTGGCTCAACGGAGACCCGCGCAACGTGGTGGTGCTGCACAACAAGGTGAAGCAGCGACCGTCCACAACACACCTGCACAGACGGGGACGGAATGATGTTTTCATTGTGGCAAAGAAAATATTTGACTCCAGATTTGTGGAAAAAAAGAAATGTCTCCTGTGAATCATGTGACTGACAACGTTTTCTTCTGTGTTGCAGGGGAACCGAGGTCGCACAGGCGTGGTGGTGGCAGCATACATGCACTACAGCAACATATCCGCAAGGTATCAACCCATAAGCAGACGCAGCTGAGGCGGGGGGGGGGGGTTCAGTTTTGAGAAAGCAGGAGCTCAGAGGTTTTGTGAGGACAGGAGCGTCAGGGCCTCGAGGTCTGAGACCTGAAACACTGATTATTATGACGAAACACAGAGTTCTGGTCAGTTTATTTCTCGGGCTCTGGGATGAGAGTCGCCCCAAACATGTTGTGCGTCTTAAATGCGAGCAGATCTCAGCAGGTGAGACGCAGCCAGGAGGATTTAAAGCTGCAGTGGAAAAGACGAAGGCTGCGGGACGTTTCTGAATCTCAAACTTTATCATTTAGCGAAATGAAACCTGGCTTGAAAAATAACGCTGCTCGTCTGATTGTGTGTGCTGCAGTGCTGACCAGGCGTTGGACAGGTTCGCCATGAGGCGCTTCTACGAGGACAAAGCACTTCCTGTCGGCCAGCCGTCGCAGAAAAGGTCAGTTATTACCTCACTTCCTGTTTGCTCGCGACTGTTTGAAACTTTAATTCAGCTTCATCTGCAGGTTAACGTGCATCAACAGTTTCTGGCTCTGCTGCTTTGGAGGTTAAAACTGAAAAAGCTTCTGCGTTTTTCAGAGGAAATTCTTTCCCTGTTTCTTCTGTTTATCTCCACTTTGGTTTTAATTGGGATAATTGTGAGTAAACGTCGCGGTGCGGGCTGAGGCCATCGGTCTGAGGGATTCCTCTGGTGTCTCTGGGGAGGCTGCAGATCATTCCTGTCGTCTCAGGACATCAGAGCAGATTTTCCTCTGATTCTGTTCCATTTTTAGCCGGGAGTGTTTGAAATAATGTCTTTTCCACAAACACGGAGCCAAGCAGTCGAGAAAAACCCGAAACCAGAGCCGCTCACACGACGTGAGAGTGGTTTTCAAAGCATGTCTTATTTTGAACACAGCAGACGATCAGCTTCTTAAAGGTCACAGCTTCACCTGCGGAGCGAGGATCCTCCACCTGAGCTTCTCTACGAGGAACAAAACAGGAAACGTCAGGGGACTTAACACCTCTTCATTTCAGCCGCTCTGTAACACGTCTATATGCTCGCCCTCTGCCCTGCTGCTATTTCCTGCCTCAGATATAATTATCTCAGCCCCGGGAGTCTGCTGGTATTATGGTCTGGAATGTGTGACATTAACATCAGGAGTAAAAGAGGAGTTCGGTTCTAGCGATGGAGGCTCATAAAAGTTTGAATGAAAGGTGTCACGTGTGGAGGTTTAGCGTCGTTAACCCACGCCGTGTTTTTTTTTTTTTAAAGCTACAGGAAACGAGAGGATCTGTCACCACTAGGTGGCACTAAACCTGATGAGCGTCACAGGAGACAGTTCACAGTCGCTCCTGTGAGAAATGACGTCACTGATCTGACAGAAACTGGAAATAGTTTTCTGTCTTTGTCATCAGAAGATGCAGTGGAAGCTGCTCTTTTCTTTCTGGTTTCTAACGCAGCCGTTATTATCGCATCACGTTCTGCAGCCTGCTGCTCTCAGCGCTGCTCTCGTGGCGTCTAATTGAATTTCACCGAGGCCGAACCATCTGGCGGCTGACAGCGGAACAAGGGGGGTGTCTGCATGTGGCGACCCCACGGTCGAGGTCACGTTTGGAACCATCATCAGCATCATCATTTACAACCCTCCTCCTCCTCCTCCTCCTCCCCCTCCTCCTCTTACTGTACTCACCAGTTCACTCCGGTTCACAGTCGATGAAGGTGAAACACGCATGTTGAGGCTTTGTCCAGTGTCTGAACGACCCTGGATTCATGATTCCTAATATCTATTGGAGATCCCCTGACCTTTATTCTGAAGCCATCATTAGCTCTGGACTTTGATCGTTCAGCTACAGGGTGTCTCTAAAACCCAACGACCAGACGTCCAGGAAGCAGAAGTTCATTCTTCCAAAGACGTAATAAAGAAGAAAAAAGTCCTGATTCTACATTCTGTCCCTGAATGCACCACAGTCTGGCTAAAACACCACTTTCACAGGTTCATTTGAAATTATTGGACAAACAGCCCGAATAAACACAGCGCCACCCAGTGTACATGGAGGTCATTACGTCTTTGTTGATGATGCAGGCGGCTGGACGACCACAGCTCTGACCTGGATTCATATTTAAATCTGACAGCTTTCCTTTTTCTCCTGCAGGTACGTTCGTTACTTCAACGGCCTCCTGTCCGGACACATCAAGATCAACAACAAGCCCTTGTTCCTGCATCACGTCATCATGCACGGCATCCCCAACTTTGAGTCCAAAGGAGGTGTGTACCTCTGTCCGCCGACACACAAACACACACGTCTGTTTCCTGCAGCGTGTCTCACTGCTCTTGTTTTTGTCCCCTCGCAGGCTGCCGTCCGTTCCTGAAGATCTACCAGGCCATGCAACCGGTCTACACGTCAGGAATTTAGTATGAGAACCTGTTATTACAGTCCGGTGTCGTTTGGGTTTGAATTCAGGACGAAGCTGCAGATTTTCAACAGAGTGTTGTTTCCTTTTTTAACAGTAACGTGCAGGGAGACAGCAACACCAGTATCTGCATCACTATCGAGCCAGGGCTGCTGCTGAAGGGAGACATCCTGGTGAGACTATTTGAATATTCTCAACATGTGAGGGGGTTTGAAAAAAGGACTTTGGGTTATTGTAGTTATTCTGCAGGGTTATAGAGCAGCGTCTGTACTTAAAACACAAATAAATAGTTAAACTAAACTTAGAAGTCCTAAAAACTAAAATGAGTAAAAGTACAAAATAAAAGGAATCTGAATGGATCTGAAAATCTGAATTAATTAATTAATTGATTGTATTGATCTTTGGCCGCAGCTGAAGTGTTACCACAAGCGCTACAGGAACCCGACCAGAGACGTGGTGTTCAGGGTGCAGTTCCACACCTGCGCCATCCACGACCTCGGGGTGGTGTTCGGCAAGAACGAGCTGGACGAGACCTTCAAAGGTAACGGCTCGCTGGGTGGGTGTGTTTTCACGCTTTTCTGTGTTTGTGTGTTTGGTCATCAGGAGGAAAAACACCGTGTTTGTGTGTGTTTGTGATATGAGAGCAGAGCTGAAATGAGAGAACAGGTTTATTAACATTCAAATACCTGAACGGCTCATCAACGCCAAAACACTCAACGGAGGAAATATGAAGAAAAATGTAAAACAACACACGAGACGACACAATCGCACAAATCCAAACAAAATGTGACCTCAGGACGAAATGTTAGACTCCAGAACTGATGCTCTAATGTGTGTTTGTGTGTATTTATTGCTGCAAGAGTGTATTTCAAACTCCTCCGTGTAACATTAGGATTCTCAAAAGCTGAACGCATCGGTGTTTGTACTGAGGATGGATCTTCACATTCTCTGACTTCTCTTTAAGAGGCTCAGTGAAGCAGCTCTCTGTTGTTAAAGTATCATCAGTCAAGTGAATAAGATATAAACATCGTCATTTCAATTAAATCACATTCATTCAGAGATTTGGAACAAATTCAATCCATCCTCTGTCGACATGTATCTTTTCTTTTATTGTCGTCTTCGTGTTGAACTCTTTTCTCTCTAAAGTATATTATTTATTATATGCCTGTCTTAATATTTTCTATAAATGAAGTTACTATTATTATATTTTTTCTCTGTTTGGGGTTTGAAATATATAATATACATCACGCTTTTTTGAAAACAGCGCCCTCTGCTGGTGAAGGAAGCTCAGCGTTTGCTCACACAAGCAAAATATGATAAAAAACCACTAAAGTTGAAAGTTTTTACTTTAATTTTATTATTGATTTACTTTGGTTTTATTTTGCCAGATTTACATCAGTGTGCTGACGTGTGATCTGTGGTGCTGGACCCTGTTGTGTGTGACTACCATGTAGATTTAAAACTTCATACATCAGCCCCATGTTGTGTTTGTGTTCTACATGTATGATTATTTGTAATGATAATATGTTATTCCTATGATTGTGTCTCTGTGCAGATGAGAGGTTTCCAGAGTATGGGAAGGTGGAGTTTGTTTTCTCCTATGGACCAGAGAAAATCAAAGGTAAAGGTAAGTCGTCTTTTATTATTTTATAAAATACTTTATTCCATCAAATGAGCCAAGACGCCGTGTGAAGAGGTACCCGTTACCCATCATGCCTTGTGCTCCTCAGGCCTGAGCCACCTGGAGAACGGACCGAGCGTCTCAGTGGACTACAACACCCAGGACTCTCTGATCCGCTGGGACTCGTACGAGAACTTCAACCAACGCTGGGAGGACCCTGCGGACGGCGAGCATGGTACGTCCACACACACACACACACACACACACACAGACACACAAACACTCACCCTCCCCCAACCTGTCAATTAGGCCTTTAAATAGCTGCTGCAGAAATAGGGGGCGTCAGTCGCCCTGCTACTGGCTGCCCCCCTCCCCAGGGGGGTTGTAACCTGAAACACCAACGACCCCCCGCCGCCAAGTCCAACGACAGCCCAAACCCTCCACGTCCCTCCGCCGAGCTGCTGCAGCTCCTGACGCACACGCTCAGGAATCTGAAGTGAAATATACATGAAATACATGTATGTCTATTTTTTCATTCATTTTGTTTCCCTCTGCGTTTATCAGTCCGTCCCCTTGTTAAACGATGCAGCGATGGAACGAACAGCAGAACATGTCACATCATCACGTGATCGTTTCTGGATTAAAGGGACGATGTGTACGTGTCTCAGCTTTCTGAGGACACCGTGTGGACACTTAGTGTAACTGCCGGCTCCTCGGCGTCCCCCTGGATCCTCTCAGCGATGATGAGATTCATGATCGCTGCTGTTATTCAGAGACATTTGCACAAACAGGACGGCGCTCTCTCTCTCTCTCTCTCGCTCGCCCTCTGTTGAGTCAGGACTTGGCAGCCATTCTGGTGCAGCATCCACTTTTTTTTTTTATAGCGTCGCAAAGACCCATTTCATTTTTATGAACATCCCCCCAGAGAACCGTTGCGGTAATTGCTGTGTTGCAGGAAGGTCACCGGGAATCGCCAGGATTGCAAGTTTGATCCTAATTGAATGGGCGGCGACGTTCGCAGCGCTCAGCAGAAAGAGAGAAAAAAAAAAAAACCTCTCAGCCACTTTATCCATTTCTCTAATTGCAGCGTTCACTCGGATGTTAGAATCGTGACCGAACAGTCCTGAACTGAACCCTCGGACAGAAGCACCACTGGACGAGCTGCCACACGTCGGTCTGTTCTCTGTGCCGTCAGATCCAAGTTCTATCAGCAGCATTTGATTTATGGCCCCAAAGACTGCGTGGTTTTATTTTTGATGAACGGCAAAGGGACAGGCTGTGTGTCCAGATGTATAAACAGATGATGAGTAAGAGTGAGAGAATGTTAATCAGGTGTAAACACATATTTGAGTTGGCAGGTGAGAACTGATGCCTCGTGAATTACACTGATGCCATAAACCTCATGACAGAATGGACTATTTTTACCCGCCGCCACCGCACAGTGGACTTAATCACTCATGAGGCATCGTTTGAGGAATCCAGACTTGTTTATTTGTGAGGCCGTTAAACCAATGTTTTGTCCTCGGACGCTGACGTCTGAGTGCGTCCCGACTCCCCCCCCCGACGACCTTGGGAATCCAGCTGAGAGGACTGAACGAAAGATGGGAGAGGGAGACGCGTCTGTGGGATTAGGCAGCTGAGAGCTGAGGTGCTCAGAGGAACACGAGCACATTGTGTCACTGAGGGAATCTGTGAGGAAGCAGTTGTTGGAGTGTGTGTCTGTGTGTGTCTGTGTGTGTGTGTTGTGCAGCTTGCAGGCATGCACATCCGGCTGTAAACTTCTGTTTTTGTGTAAAGTCCTCTGCAGTTTATTTTACGGGGTTTGTGTGAGCTCGCCTGCGTGTGCGGTGCACCTTGTGTTTGTCGGCTCGCCTTTGCTCCACTAATAGCCCCGTGGTCCGGCGGCAGCTGCTGACCTGCAGGTCAAACCCGTCAAAAGGCCACTGTTCAGGACACTGGGCGGCCACACAGCTCCTGAGCAGGAATACTTCATGGAAAACACACACGGAACGATTCAATTCCAGGTCATAGTCTGATCCCAGGGTCTGATTCTGCAGGGTGCGTGAAGGCGACAAACAGGATGTGGCACAAGTTGAGATGGTTGTTGTTCTGATGTTTGTGCAACGTGAAAACACGTCAACGTGTTTTTAACATTTGAAGTTGTGTTTTCATCCTTGTGTGTCACTTTGTTGGTTTGTTTTCAGCACGATTACACAAAAACTCCGACACCCCTCGTTTTTTTTTCTGGACATGTCAGTTCCTCAGGTGGATCTTCATGGGTCTGGATGAAGTGTGTGAGCTCCACTGACTTATAATAACTTATAGTAACTTAACTCTACTTATATTTATCTTTATTCTATGAAATGGATTTTTCCAGAGTTTCTGATTGGACTTGAATTTCCTCTGAGTGTGTGTTGTTGGAATAACCACTGAACATAGAGTCTTGCCACAGCAGAATAAGTGTGTGTGTGTGTGTGTGTGTGTGTGTGTGTGTGTGTACAGTACAGTAGGGCAGCGGCCCAGTGACAGTCTTCCTTGTTCTCCGCCCTCCTCCCATATTTGGCTGCGGCCGAGCCCTGAAACATGTCTGGAATAACTGGATGGAGACAGACAGAGACAGTGGGACAGACACAGAGAGGAAGACGAGAGCAGACGTTTACGAAGATTAGACTCAGAGACTGATTATTATTTAAAGTTGGAGTAAAGAAGAAGAAGAGACAGAGAGAATAAAGAATGAAGTGACACTGAGGGGAGCAGCTGAGCAGCAGCGACTGGTGAGTAGCACTGGAAGATTTTAAAATGAGAAACTTCTGCATGAAACGAAAAGAGAGAATTCAAATTTGATTCAATCACAATAAAATGAAAAATGAAAGATCTGTGTTATTCCTGCAGCGGGCAGATAACGCAGCATGTCCTCACATCACGGCGAGAATCTTTTGTCCGTTAGTTCTGCAGACTGTTTGTGTGTTTGTTGCGTTTCCATGTCAACGTGGTGGCGTCCTGTGTGTTTGGCGCCTATATGGTATAAAATGAGTCATGGAGCGAGGCGATTTGTGCGTGTGGAACATTTTATGAGCAGGCTGCAATTTGGGTGCACCAAAACTATTAGGGCCTCTGGTCGGGAGCTGCATGTGACTTCCAGAAAGTTTGTGCAGGGACACGGTGCACGTGTGGAATCTGTTTCACCATCTGAACAATCAGGGAAGTGGAAAGTTTAGGATGCAGGACTTTTTATTTCCTTTATTTGTTTGTGTTTTCTCTACGTCTGCATTTTGAATTGTGATTTTTCACTTTTAAAAAATCCTCTTTCTGGTGGAAATAACTGGACAAACTTTAAGTGAACGTCTGATAAAATATTGACCTCACAGATACACTCCAGCGTCCACGTTAAATTCAGTTGTTCACAGATGGATTTCAGGTATTTGGATCATCCTGCGGGAGTCTTCTCGTTAGACGTCCTGCTGACAGGACGGTGAGCTGCAGCAGCAGGTTCAAATCCCAGCTGAGCCTGTCCTCATATCTTAATGCCTCCTTTTCCTTCTGTCTGTCTCCATGTGGCGTTCCCGTCGTCTCTCGGCCTCTCACGCCGCTTTTGTATTTTCCTCGTGTCTGATCCCTGAAACACTCGAGTCACATTCTACCTGGATTTCTGCTGTTTGAAGTTCACACGACTTCATCTGTGCAGCAGAAAAGGTTTTCTGACTCCGAGGGTTAAACAAAGAGGCAGATTCACTTTTATGACAGCGACTGATCCTCGTACGTGACGGACTGATGATTGGACAGATGCACAAAAAAAAACTCCACAGATCAACAGAGGCCAGAGATTTACCACGACGGCGTCCTGCTGATTTATGTCTGCAGTTTAATTTAGTTCTTGTTCATGGGCAGGGAGGAAAACCTGACCTCTGGGTTTTGAAATGATGTCACACTGAGAAAACAGTGGATAAAACCTGGAATATTAAAACTCCACGACGATGAAGTTTAATTGTCGAGGAATGTTGATCGTTAAACTTAAAGTTTCCAACAACTGTGGTTGTTAATAACTTCTCAGTCTTTGTAACTGACGCGGTTCAGCTTCGCTCTTCAACTGTGTGGAGCCGATTGTGACAGGAGATCGAACCCACTCACCAGAGTTACACCGAACAGACGTTGGAGGACTCACTTTAATCGAGCTGCTGCTCTGAGGTGGGAAAAGTCTCTTGAAGCTTTTTGAAGCCTCCACAGTGACAGTCCATAAAGACGCAGCTGAATATTCTCAATCTGCAGCTTCATCTGCGTCCAGGAGACGACGCGTATCGGATGTGGAGTGTCGTCAGGCAGAGGCCCGGGGCGTCCAGCAGGTAGCTTTTTATGACTCAGACGACTGCCAGGCAGATGGATGACATCAGCCTGGAAACAGTCCCGGGGACAGACACCGATACAGTCACGCCACGTTACCTCAAACGGTGACAGCTGGACGTTGAGTGATGGATGGAGCGAGACACAGCAAATATAAAACCGCTACAGTTTTCCTTGTGCCAGTCACCGATACGCCAACCATGACACCTCGCCTCCCCCCCCCCCCGGACACGTCGTCCTTTATGAGGACGTCTCTGTTGTCCTCGGGCTCTGCTGCGAGAGAACGACCAGTGTGGTAACACCAGTCACAGAGCGTTCAGAAACAGATCACTACCTGAGTTAAGATGTTTGGAAGTCACATGAATGTGTCAGATCTCAGATCGTGGTGGATTAAACACACACACACACACACAGACACACACACACACACACAGGCTGCTGCGATGTCACATTCTGCTGTGAGATACCAGACGACTCACTGACATCACCACGTGCACACGCCTGCCTCTGAATGTCAGTGCACGTCACTCATCATTTATCCATAAATTGATTTTTATTCACTTTAATGTTCAGAAACAAATAAGTGAACATGT